CTAAAAATATAGCCAATAGGCGTTTCTAGGTCGAATGGACGATTCGAATCGTTTTATTGCCATCAATGTGTTTGTGCAGTGTACACAAATCTCGGGAAGTGATGGGACGGAGGCTTTGACAGAGGTTTTTTTTTGTCATAGCTAGTTTCTTCTTTAACAAAAAGATTTCGTGACGCTTTATTGGGGAAATAAAGTTAGGTTGTTGCATCTTGTCGGTTTTATTTGGAGTAGATGGATTATCTGATAGTAAGCAATTAGGGCCACCCATCATCACCATAGTTAGTTACATGTTGACAGAATTTTTGCCTCATTGCCTAGACCGAACCATGAAAAATCGGCAAGATTATAACATCTATAAGAGCCGAAATATAGAAGTTAACTGGCGTTAAATTATAAAGCAAAAGGGAAACATTGGGAATGAATTACGCAATAAAGTTTTAATAGATCTATAGAAGAACAAGAAATCACAACTACATAGTATAAAATAAAGTCGCATTCTGTCCCTATACCAATCTATGTTTAAATCTTTAAAACTACGCAATAGATTTTGATGCGGTTTTTAATGGAGCAATTGAAGAGGAAGGTTTATATGTATAATAACATCCACTAAATAGTGGAGAACGCATTTCTCCGGTCCGGTCAGGTCGCTAGTATAAAATAAACTACAAAGACTAATTTAGACCACCCTTTGGTAAATTTTGCGTACCTCAACCTAACTAACAAGCTGAGAAATGCGTTTATAGGTAATTTGGCACTCAGTAACTAAAAATTTCGAAGTCATACTGACACTTTTTATATGAAACATCCACTAGTTGAAACTGTATGTTTATTACATGTTAAGTCTGCATGCACTTAAATAAAGCCAAAAAATACAAAACCGCTAATTCCATAAAAAAAACTCTTAAATTAATCAGGATGCAACAGATATAAAGTGTTGAACGGTAAACAATAACATCTGCTCGATACGACAGGAAGTCGATTCAATTTGAAAATCGACTAACCTGGTTATGGGCATAAATTATATTTTTTTAGAGGCCAACTCTCGAGTCTTTTGTCTGTAACCGGTTCCATTGAAGTTGAATAGTGAATTTGAGTGAATTTGCGAAAGAGACACATACATATTTACATAGTATAAAATAAAGTCGCATTCTGTCCCTATACCAATCTATGTTTAAATCTTTAAAACTACGCAATAGATTTTGATGCGGTTTTTAATGGAGCAATTGAAGAGGAAGGTTTATATGTATAATAACATCCACTAAATAGTGGAGAACGCATTTCTCCGGTCCGGTCAGGTCGCTAGTATAAAATAAACTACAAAGACTAATTTAGAAACGAATAATTTAGGTAATTTTGTATTAAGCCGAAATAAGTCTGACAAGAAGCATGATGCTTTAGGATTGTGTTTGCAATGACGAGAGTTTTCGCGCCACTGAACCTGTAGCCGCCATTTAAAATCTATTGACCAAAACAAGAATAGGTAGGTTTTTGTTAAATATCAAACCATTTTCAGTCTTCTTGTCAGAATCAGAATTTTATTAGAGAATGTAGCTGTACAGGATAAGATGTACATAGGTTGTGTTTACCTTACGTCTGACTAACGCCATCTCTAAGCGCAACATCGTAAATAGTTTTCGACACAAGGTAAAAAGAAAGCTATAAGTGTTTGTGGAATATTTATACCTACCAACTAATAAAGTTTTGAAAGGGGTTGAGATGGCATTCTCGCTGAATAAATGAAGTATGTTACAATGTGGTGCTAGAATAATCAGCACAAAACAGTTTAATAATCATTACACAGACCGGCGGGTCTATAAATGCCAGAGAAGATATGAGCATTAATCTCCATGCTTGGTCAAGCAGTGTTTGCGAAACTTATAACTAGAAATTATAAGGTATGGTTTTCACATCATCTTTCACTACACGATAATTATATCAGTGTTGTCTAAGCAAATAAAAAAGATTATTTGGGAGGTAGTAATACTCCTTTTAATCTCGAAAGGGGTCTCAAAACAATATTTACTTGCATTATTGGCACAATAGCTGGTTGACGGGCTGATACACAATGTGTCAAAATCATTCCTGCCTATATTTTTTTGTGGTCCATTGATAGTTGTTCTAGCTTGAGTGTGATGTGCTGTGAAATTATGGTTATTAATGCAATACAAATAGGATAAAATCCTAGAGTAGTTATAAAGCATGTATTTTTAGAAAAAATATGAAAAATACTTTGAATTTTTTGCCTATCTGCACCTAACAATTTGCCTCAAATGGTGTTACAATGAATAAAAGCAAACTACTGCAAGCAAGATGTTTCCAACTAGCCAAATTGGAAGTATTTGGAAGAGGCTTAGCTATATATGTAATAACAAAAAAGAAAATTGAATTTGTTGAAAATATGTTTTAATATTAGTTTGTTTTGTATTAGCTAAAAAAGGTTTTAGTTATTCTACATGATCAATACTGACTGATATGTCTTCTACTAGCCAAATAAAGACTGATATTTTTATACTGATATTAACTAGAAACATTTATTCTTAACTTTAAGAAAAATGAGACACTAGAACATTCAATTTATCCTTTACTGAATATCCAACTGTATAGCAGTTACATTAAGGCATAGTTTCAAATGTTAGCTGCCATTTATTTACTTTGTAAGTATATTATTTACTCAAGTGTTTGCTGCTAATAACAAATACAAAATCCACAATGATTTACATTTAGATATAGCTTGTCTTTGCCCTATATACAGTATATAAGTATTTCATTATTTTAACACTGCTATATGGTCTATAGTGGATATAAACTTAAATCATTTAATTCAACTTGGTTTCAAATTAAATACTTCACTCAAAAGTGGAATAGTCTTGTAATTCCAAATTTAATCTCTAATTTGTTATTTAACTACTTATTATTAGAATTCTTTAACTTTATCTGCCTCTTCAAAAACAAAAGATACTCAACACTGCTAAAGGAATTCAATGATTGGAAGAAAAAAGAAAGTTAAAGATATTTAAGTAAACACTATGTGTAGACATGTAAAGCAATAAATTTTTCTTGATTAAATTTAATTCCTAAAATGCATTTCCTCTTGTATGGTTAGAAAAAATCAATGTTAGCCTTGAAAAAATATCTTTTGTTGTACTCTTTCATTGATGTTGTACTTTTTTCTATCAATTTTGAACATAGAACCTACCTAGAAGAAGGATAGGTAGTTTATCCAAAATGAGAGTAAAGCCAAAAACATAACCTTTAAATTTGGAATGTGGCTAGTCAGTGACTAATAAGAAAAAAGCAATCATAGCTAAATATATTTTAAACCATAATTAAACAAAATTTATTGAATAAATTCAAACAACAGTTAGTTAAAACTTTAATGATTCACCTAACTAACTACTTACAATTAATTGACTGAATCATATCTGACACAATTAGATCAATATCAAATTGTTATAATTGAACATTAAATATGGTGTAGATGACATAACATGAACATTTATTCATTATTTTATTCCATTACAGAAAATTCTTAGCGTGTATCGTAAGCTAGTTTTTTTATATAGAGCATGCCTAACACTCGATTCCATAGACGCTCTGAGCCCGCGCCTTACGTGTGTAAATAAACAAAAAAATTACGCTGTAAACATTGGCACAAAGAGAACATAAAAACAACGATTCGCGAACTAAATACCCATGTACACCTCTACACAGCAGGCTGACAACGTTGTGTCCATTGATACTTGCGAACAAGAAAAAAAAATGCATCATGAAACTTGCATACGACATGACCATATCTTTCTTGAGATGTGTTTCCGATTATGTCCCTTTTTCATTGTCTTAACTATAACTTTACCTTATTTAGTTGTGAGCGGTGGCTGTAACGTTACTAAATCCCGAAAAACAATTCAGATTAGCACTGAAAATGCTGTAGCACAATGGTACAGGCACATTGATGTCGTAGTATACGATCAAAACATAGCCTTTGTACGCCTAAAATGCGTACTTAAGGCATCCTACATAATTAAAACGCATACATTAATGATTGCAGAAGGTTAGCAACTGCCTAAAGTACGCGTAGGTTGTATTATTCGAAAGTATTTTGAAAAAATGCTGTTGCTTTTCAACACAGTAATGGCATAACACGCAAACACTATGACTGATATTCACAATGAAACACTTCACTGAACCGCGATAGATTGTTCGAGGAACGCGAGACGAGCCACGGTATGCAATTTCTCACTCACCTTGTTGTTTATTAGCTATTTTATTGAAACAGTTTTGAAAAACTTCATATAAATGCATAGGCTCGTCATCGCTCGTCGCCATTTTGGATTGTACTGTCCAAATAAAGCATAGACAATAAAGAGTATAAAGATGACTGCCTGTTCAAAAACTTAACTCACTTATTTTTCTACGAATTCTACATTAACAATATTGTTAATGTTTGCGCTAATGAAATATTCTAAAATAATTGGAATTACATATCTTACCATGTAAGCGATTGTTACCCTACTCATTGATAATATTATCTTTTTAATTTATCTTTTTATTTCTAAACATGTTTTTCATCACCATGATTGTAATGTTCAATTAAAATTAATATAAACTTTTAAAAATTTTATTCCTTGTTGCGTTTCAGTTCAACAAAATTGAAGAATGGGTGTAAAAACTTAAACATTATTACAAGAAAAGAAGATAAATTATTTTCACAATAGAACTTCTTTCAAATCGTAACCATAAACAAAAATAGAATGAAAATGTATATAAGAATCAATTCGACTAAAATACGACAATGATACTTTTTTATTACAAAACAGTGTTTGGTTCCACAGAAAAATACAAACTCCTGTTAAGGTAACGCTTTTGAACTAAATACAACCTTGGAAAACTGTTAAATTTTTCTATTAAAACTAGTTAATTAAATAATTTCACTAGTCCATCCACTTGAAAATAATCCACATAGTAACTTTGAACTGTCACACGTAGTCGACTAACCGACTATTTCATTCAACGCATCTCTACTCTAGAGCCATTTTTTTTCACTGCGAAAATTAAGTTTGACGTGAGAGCCTACAAAATTTTCGAGTGCACTTCTTACAGAAAAATACACTCAATAACCATCTACATGTAACATGTTCTCATTGAATTCTATAAACACCCAAAACCAGGTAAACAGAGATTTTCCGCCGTTAATAACAGCAAAACATCGACATGAAGTGTAAATGAAAACTGTTTTGTCATTAAAAATATAACCTTTTGTCATTGCAGATTTTAGTTAGTTTTAGCCAATTATCTTCAAGATATTCAAGTGTTTTCCGTCATCGTAAGCAAAACAGTGGGAAAAATAAAAATGTGAGGGGTCAAGAGAGTTCGGCAGCCGTGTATGACGCAATAATTTGTAAGGAAAGTCTCGAAGAAACTATCAGGAACTTTGATAAGAATGTCTTAAGGTATGTACTGTACACCGACAAGGCTGAATAATATGGTTATACAATTGCCTGTTATATAAAATAAGATGATATTGTCTTTGGTATTTCCTTATGATTATTACAGAGAAATATCAGTAAAAACATTGTTGAATGTTCAGTAAAAATCAAATAAAACTGTAAGTATTATATAAGTAAGGTTATGTTATTAACGAGGCGTTGTTTTCATAGCAGGGTATGTAAACAGACTATTGTTAGTTGTTTTCTTTTTTTAAAACAAACAATTGACAAGGTAGACCTTTTATAAGAATGGCAAAGGCAATCATTTTATTGAGTCTATAGTTTTTTTAATATCTTAAAATGTAATATTTTTGATTATTTTGTTAGCCTTCTTCCAATAAGAATGCTATTGGCACAGAGTCAATGAGATCTGACTAAACATTAGTATTTTAAGAATATGTTTCTCAGATACTACTCTGAAGTGGAATCCCTTTTATAGTTATTCATTGATGTTAGTACAGCAATAAAAAAAGTCAAACAACAACAACAAAATTTTTATTGTCTTGTTTGGGCTAGAGGCTTAGACTTCAAAAGAGCAAAATACAATAAGATTTTACGCAAGAAAATGAGATTGTAATCACAAAAATTGTTTTGCTCAAATAACAATTAAATGCTCCCTATTACATGCGATAAATATAAACTACTAATGTCAGTAATAATATCAATTTCTATGGCAAATTTCATTTATAGATAGTTCCGTTATGTAGTATTTACATGAATGAATTACAAACATGTATTCTATCATCTCTATCCGCAATTTAAATTTGTCATGTATAATATTTATAGGATGAGCCACTCTAGCCTTCTTTAATAAAAATACTATCTAACATAATCTGCATGTTCAAACAAACACACTGTGAAGCTTTATTATACTGGTAAAACTTTGCGTATAACTTACCTTGGAGAAAGATTTTATTAAAAATGATTTCCCAGACTTGTTTCTATCATGGTCCCTTCACAAACATGTAAGTTTCAATTCACATTACTGGAATAACAATTTCTGGATCTCTCTAAGTTGTTTCTTGTGGAAATGTACCCTGGCTATTAAATATTTGCATGGTAGATTGTTGACCAGCCTCCGCCCTAAATATGCACTCAACGATTTATATTCAAACTGCCCAAACAAATTTAAAATTGTAATCTAGACATTACACATTATCAATATCAATAATTGTGTCCTTAATTCCCAGTACCATATTCTCACTGAATCACCCGAGACTATTAAGCTGACCTATGTACTTGGTGCATAAAGTAAAATAAATCAACCTGATGTGGTCCACTGATTAAAATAAACTGAGCATAGTACAGAATTATTAAAAAAATACACTCAGTAATTTTATTCAATATTCAAAAGTCAAATGTCAAATTTTTTTAAATCAATTTGACCCTTACAGGCACTTTTGAACGTCAAACAAACCTTAAAGATATAAAGTGTCAGTCTGTCGGTCAGACCTCTTAGTGAAGCTATTTGCTCAATCAAAATTGTAGATTCTAATAGGGATCTAAGTCCATTCCTTCATTTGTTTTTTTTTTAATTTACTAAGGTATGCAGAATCATTAAATGTCTAAGCACTTAAGCTGGTCATTAAAAATAACTTACACAAATATAATTATAATAAACTTTGGACATTGAACGAGCAATGTAAATAAACAAAAAAATTGAATTACTTATGCAAATTTTGACATTGTCCATTTGTGTGGCTTTTATTTTTAAACAATGTTGTTGCTAACAGTGTTTTAATAAGCAAAAAAATGTATAGTAAAGCTGTTTTTTTTGTTTTATGAGATGTGTAAATAGTATTTTTGCACCAAGTAAAGCAGAGTATTAATAGAGACAGAGCTCCAGATGTCCAAAAGGTCTGATGCCGAAACGGTGTAGTTGGGACAGTTCAATAAGGTACTGTATGCCAGCTCGGAACAGGAGATAATTTTTATTCCGTTGCGAGATTGATCCTTTACACTCCACTCTAGTGCGGATAAGTAGGAGGGTAATAGCGACTGCACGGTTAGTACGGTGGCTGGTCAACTACCTGCCGTGCAACATGCTCCAGGGTCGATTCTCGCACGGAACGACTACATATTTGTGTGATCCTCAAATTGTTGTTCCGTGTCTGGGTGTGATGTGTATGTTTTTTTTTTATGATATAAGTCGGCAAATGATCAGACGGATTACCTGATGGTAAGCAATCGGCGCCGCCCATGGACACCAAAGGAGTTACGAGTGTGTTGCCGGCGTTTTGGCGATAGGGGTTGAGGATATAAAGACCGGGAAGGGATAAGGGAAGGTATGTGAAACTGTATGTTTGTAAATGTACCCTGGTCACAGGAGAAAATCCTAAAGTGGGACATAATTGGGTATTAATTTATAAAAGTATATTCTATTAAATTATTTATTCGCATTATTTACACAGTGCACACTAGCAAGCGGTATTTCACGTTGGTTTTTTGGCCGCGTTATTATAACTCCAGTCGTGCTGGCCTATTCATGCCGAAGGCACTCTCACACACATGCTTTCAAAAGGCACACCTTTTTCTTATTTGAACTATTTCAATGATGATATGCAATAGTTAGTTAACTATTCATATGTGCGTAATAGTAAACAATGTCAACGAAAGGTCTTTGACCTATTCATTATTTTAAATAATAAGTTACTTGACGAAATGTAAACAAAAATAGTAATTTCATTGTATACTAGCTACTCTCGAGCGGTTTCACCCGCTGCTCGGCTCCATTTACTCGTAGCGTGATGTTTTATAGCTTATAGCACTCAGGAACATTCTAGCTGCCTATCAGTGAAAGAATTTTGGAAATCCGACCAGCGGTTTCAAAGATTACCCCCTACATACAAACTTACAAATTTTACTTCTTTATAATATTAGTATAGACTAGCGGTCCCTCCTCTGCTTCGCATAATAATGTTTATGTGTCTCTATAACTACCTCGGTGACACTCATTTGTTTTTTTACCCGACTACACCAAAGCAAAAGGAGGGTTATGATTTTGACAGGCTATGTATGTATGTACGTTCATCTGTTCCCTCGTAACTTCTAAACTACTTGTCAGAATTCGACAAATGACATATCATTAGAAACTTCTTAATTTTCCGCTGGTTATAAGCTATATGGGGTATCACAACATCTAATGTGGCGTGTGGAATACTGAAAGGCGTAGTCACACGTTATCAAAGTGCAGGTATGGTAAGTAAATGTAACGTGTGACTACGCCTTTTAGTATTCTGAAAATCATGTTTTATGGTACTTTTCAGCGTCGGTTTTTGTCGTAGTTGGGTTTTAGTTTTTATACTTTTTAGGATTACAATTTACCGAAAAATAAACCCCGCAATAGGGCGCCGATTGCTTACCATCAGGAAACCTGAAAAAAAAAAAAACAAATGCACTCGTTGCCGACCTATCACATAAAAAAACATACAATAAAAGTTATTATTGGAATCTGTCTAGCATTCACTTTTATACATATACATACTAGCTTCCGCGCGCGGCTTCGCCCGCGTGGTATGTTGATAAATTGTAGCCTATGTCCTGTTCCGGAGTGTATCCTATGCCTGTGCCAAATTTCATCCGGATCCGTCCAGCCGTTTTGGCGTAATTGAGTAACAAACATTCAAACTTCGTAACTTTCGCATTTATAATATTAGTAAGAAGTAAGATTAGTATGATATAGAGTAGCGATCACTCAGTTTCGTAAGAGATGGTAAGAGTATCCAACGCCCGCCATGCCGCATGAAAATGATTGTTATTTTCACAATTTAATAAGTTTCGCCAAATGGCTTCAGCAATACGGTAGTTTCCAACTAGTCAAATTCAATACTTTTATCCAAACGTCAAAAACGATACCTTTCTATGGAATTTGTATGAAAAACTGAGCTATGACGTCATAACATTTTTGCGTCAAATAGCTTACTTATTTCACAATAATTAGCTAAAAAAAATCTAAAAGTTGGTGTATCGATCGATCTATGAATAAAAGTATAGTTATTTTTCAATATTTTATTACATTGAAACATCGAATTAATTTATTTTTGACCTAGGAAACTACCCAATTCTCGAAATTTGCTCGCTGAGATACATTTTGATGCTGATATAGGGACAGAAAAAGCGACTTTGTTTTATACTATGTAGTGTTTGTAAGTAAATACAAAATATGTATGTACTTGTTATGATACATAGTTTATCTGAATGTGACAAGCTTGGCAAGATAACTAGTGAACTGTGACGTCATACAACTATCCGTATTTAGGTACTTTCTACGCAGATTACAATGTTTTTATAATGCAATGCCAGTGTTATCCAGGATTTAAAGTTTTTGATAAAGTGAGTTCTGTTTTATTCTTGTTGGAGATCTCCTTCATCGTCCTCTTAACTGGGTATATAAAGACTGACTGGTTACAACGTTATCCAAATACTATCCATGACACAATGGACCAGTAGTTTCGGAGATTAGCGCGTTTAAATAACACCAGCTAAATATTGGTGTTGATAAGTGATATCTATATTAGTTAATGTATGTCGCTAAACGCCTAAGCTAATAAATATATCTATACTATAAATATATAATAATACTATCGGCCCGCCCCCGCTTCGCACGGGTCCAACTATCTCGCTATCAAACGGTCACTTTTTCCTAATCCTCCCCCCTAATTTTCTAATACTTATTTTCTTTGATGAGAACCTTCTCCTGACAATAACAAAAAAAGAATTAGCAAAATTAGTCCAGGCGTTGTTGAGTTATGCGCTCACCAACACATTTTGCGATCCATTTTTATATATAAGAAGAAGATATTATAAAGCTGGAAAGTTTGTTTGAACGCGCTAATCTCCAGAACTATTTTTTTTTTATATTAATAGTTTATATTAGTAGTTTTTATATTAATACTAATATTATTAGTCAATTTATCAAGGAAGGCTTTAGGCTATAGAACACGCTACGATTTGTAGGAATCGAGCAGCGAGTGAAACCGCGTGAGAGAAGCTAGTTATACTTTGCTCCTCATTCGGATTTTCTCCTGTATCGTTGTGTGGTGAAACAAGAATTTGTAGATCTCACAAAGTGGTGTTCCGTGGGACAGTTGCATAGTCATCACGCCAACTATGCTGTTTTGTTAGCAAAATAATCTTTATTAAAGAAATTAAAATTCTGCAGGTTGTTGTAAGCGATTTACGCCCCTAAACACCAAAGATCTAACAGAGGCGTTTCAAGCTTTTTTTTTTTGTGAGGGGAAAATCATTAAATTACTTCTCCCGCCCAGGGCCGGGCGGGAGGCAGTGTCAGACTCTTGCTAACTAAAAACCCCCCATTCCTTCTCCTGCTCTGGGCCGAGGTCGCGGTGCCTCATTGCGCTTACCCCGCAACCAGGCGTTTCAAGCTGTAAGCTGTATATAAAGAAAATTTCATTTTTATTGTTTCAGTGAGATGAGAACTCTAGAACTACGAACGCTCGCGAGCAAGGCTTATCACCCGCGGCTGCGCGAGCTAGCCTCCTCGCGGAAAGTGTCTCATGTATCCGCTGATACCTTCGATAAGAACAAAAATGGCTGGTCACAACTACCCACAGTTACCGTACACCTTTCGAAAAAGAATACCAGGTAATTACGAGTACGGCCGACGTATGTTGGCGAGTCTGAAGTTAGCCGTTTGTCTGCGCAATGGATCTTTTAGGAACAAAATTGTGTACTGCGCAGCTAATCGGCTAACTTCAGACTCGCCAAGATACGTTGGCGGTATTGTACTCCCATGTTAAGCTTCCTTGCACGTCCTTAAATGAGATACGTTGGCAAATAGCCTGATGGTAAGCTATCGGCGCCACCCATGGACACTCGTAAAACCGAAGAATGCGTTGCTGGCCTTTTGGGGTTTCGGATATTTAAGGATGGGGAGAAGGGGATGGATTGGGCCTCCGGTAACCCCACTCACACAGCGAAACACAACGCTGTGGTTGCTTCACGCTACAGCTTCAGGAAACGAGAGAACACCTTTTTAAATGGTAGGCTTTACTTAAAATTTTATTTATGTACCCCAATTCAAAATCTGCTTTAAATACATCCGGTATTTTAAGTGTGGGAGAGCCATGCGGCACGAAACGGCTCGACCGGAGCGATACCACGGCCTCGCAGAAAACCGGCGTGAAACAACCACAGCGTTGTGTTTCGCCGTGTCAGTGGGGTTACCGGAGGCCCAATCCGTTCCCTCCCCTCATCCCTTCTCAATCCTTAAATATCTGAAACCCTTATCCCCAAAAGACCGGCAATTAACTCGTAACACTTTTGGCGTTGTGGGTGTCCATAGGCGGCGCTGATTGCTTACCATCAGGTAATCCGTCTGCTCGTATACCATAAAAAAAACGCGACATATAAATAAAATCTGATTACAGATTCAGCTTCACAGACAATTTCGCAAGCCTCCTAGCGCGCAGCTTGGAAGGTAATACCTTTCAGTATGCAGTACAAGTGCGCGGGTTCAAGACCGAGCGAGCCATAAACGCAGACCTCAAGCGTAACCCAAACCTTATAAACAGATTACGTAAGTTTACAGTCTTTTATGTACCTATCTATAGTCTTAAATTGGCTAGTTGTCTAGGTCAGAAATAAATTAATTCCATGTTTCAATACTATAAAGTATTGTAAAAGAATTATATTTTTATTCATCGATCTCTCGTTACTTTATATTCTGTGACTGCATGGTTAGCGCGGTGGCTGGACAACTGGCTGCCGCACAACGTGTCGCAGCTTAGATTCCCGTACGGAACAACTCTTTGTGTGATCTACAAATTGTTGTTCCGGATCTGGATTTGATGTATTGTATGTTTGTAAATGCACCCACGACACAGGAGAAAATCCTAGAGTGGGGCAATGGTTTGTTTAAAGAAAAAAACAAATACTTTATTATAAATATTTTTATTATATTTTATATTTTTATTATAAATTTAAAAAAATATTTTTAAAATACAATAAAATATTGAAAAATAACTAAACTTTCATTCATCGATCCATCGATACAATTAATTTTAGATATTTTGTAGCAATTTAAAAAAAAAATAAGTACTTAAGCTATTTGACTTAAAAATACTATGACGTCATAACTCAGTATTACATGCAAATTTCATAGAAAAGTATCGTTCTTGACATTTGGATAAAAGTATTGAATTTGACTAGTTGGAAAGTCCCGTGTTGCTTTGGTTCCAGGTCTAGGCTCACAGGATCCCATAGAAAAACAAAATCCCCCGTGTCCGGAGGTCGCGCCCCGACTCGAGAAGTTACTAAATGAGGACTCCGCACACCTCACTCACCAGCAGAAAGATAAGATCAAGATTGCCTTCGCTGAAGGGTATCTGGCAGGTATGTGGTTTCTGATATTGCCTTCAGTTAGTCGCTTTCAGGGTCGAGAGCTGAAGAGGAAGAGGTTCTTGCAACCATTCCAACTATGAGGTCTCGTGATGAGGAATGAAACATATTATATACTAGCTACTCTCGCGCGGTTTTACCGGCTGCTCAGCTCCATTTAATCGTAGCGTGATGTTTTATAGCCTATAGCACTCAGGAACATTGTAGCTAACTATCAGTGAAAGAATTTTGGCAACCCGACCAGCGGTTCCGAAGATTACCCCCTACATACAAACTTACAAATTTTACCTCTTTATATTATTAGTATAGAATAGATGAACAGTAATTTTAAAAAAATGTTGCCCTCACTAGCATAGCAACCCAGACCCGAAACAACTATTTGTGGATCACACAAAGAGTTGTTTCTCGGGCATCGAACCCGCGACACGTTGCCGTATTGGATATTCGGGATACTGCCTCCCTTTGTGATTTGGCCAACGAGGAGAGGTATTATGTGACGGTAAGCAATAGGCGGTGCCTATGGATTTGCCTATTAGGGATGAGGGAAGGAGAAGAATTGGGCCTCTGGTAACCTGTCTCTCAACGCTGTAGTTGTTTCACGCCGGTTTTCTGCGAAGCCGTCTTATCACTCCGGTCGAGCCGACCTATTCGTGCCGAAGATTGACTCTTAAATTATTTTGTTTATGTATTTAATTTAAAAATGTGGCTTTCCCTAGGTTCTCACCCGGACAATGTACGCGGTACGAAGGCGTCAAAGTACCTGAAGCTGGTCCAGCAGTTACTGACCATCGTCCTATTCCTCGCCATCTTCGTCAGCCTCATGGCGTCCGTCAGCGGGACTGTCTTCCGGTAAGTTTAACTAGTAAATTCATTTAGAAAGACTTCAAACTTGAATGTAGTCGATATAGTCCGTCGAACCGTTACGGAGGTGGGCCATACAATATAATTATTATATAAGACTAGATTCGGCCCGCGGGGTATATTTATAAAAAGTAGCCTATGTCATGTAAAATTCATCCAGATCCGCCCAGCCGTTTTGGCGTAATTGAGTAACAAACATCCAAACATCGTCACCGTCGCATTAGTAAGATATCATTCATATTTTCTATAACGATAGCTAACGCTAGCATTTTTTCCTGTCTCTGTGTAATTTTGAAATCGCCAATCCGCCTTGAGTAAGCGTGGTGATTAATGCTCAAACCTGCTCCGTGTGAGAAGATGCCTTTACTCAGTAGTGACCACTTAAAGGCTGATGATGTAATACGATTATTTTTTTCTGCCATGTTCTGAAGTTCTAAACATTAGTCCTCATAAGTCACCTCAATATGGTTATTTTTCCAGGATCCAGTTAGGTAACCAAGTGGAGGTGGATCCCGAAGACATATCAGTGACCTTCGATGATGTCAAAGGTGCTGATGAAGCTAAACAGGAGCTCAAAGACGTCGTAAGTATATTTTAACGAAAGTAAAACGAAACAAGAGTACTCCTTGTAACTGTAGGCTGGCAACGATCCTCTGGTGTCCATGGGCGGCGCTGATCACTTACCATCAGGTAATCCGTCTGCTCGTTTGCCCACATATCTTCTTATACAGTATGTAAATTTGAACGACGGACTTATTGAAGGAGGGTGGTCAGTATTCGATTCTCGTCCCAATTTTTTACTACTTTTTTGGAACGGTTTTGTTCGTCATTAATCAGGTTTTTTTATTGTTTATATGTTTATTGGTGTAGTCTATGCATAAACAATTGGGGGTTTGAATAAGTCCCTCGTTCAAATATACATACTGTATATAAAAATGGATCGCAAAATGTGTTGGTAAGCGCATAACGTCCTATATCCATACTTCCTTTCCTGTCCAAGGTGCTTGAGGCCTGTGTCCACAAACAACTATCTGTTTTCATTTACAGGAATTCACTTGTCAGTCCATTCCAATCGGGCTTCAGACCAGGCCACAGCACTGTTTCCGCCCTCCTTAAAGTGACTGGCGATATTAGAGTTGGCCTTGATGACGCTAAAGCCACAGTCCTGGTTTTGGTTGATTTCTCAAATGCCTTCAATATGGTCAGTCACGATATCCTTTTAGCCATCCTATCCCATCTTGCAATCTCTGATGGGTCTCTGGCATGGTTTTCTTCTTATCTTCAGGAGCGTCAGCAGTCGGTCAAGCATGGTGATATATCATCAGGCTGGTGCGAATTAAAAGCTGGCGTTCCTCAAGGCGGCATATTATCACCACTCTTGTTTTCTATTTTTATCAATCTCATCACTTCTGACCTTCGGTGTGCGTACCATCTGTATGCAGACGACTTGCAGCTGTACTGTCAGGCTGGCGTAGACTGCTTGGCCGATGCTATCGCAAAAATTAATGATGACTTAGCCATCATTAGTGCCTGGTCAGCTCGGTTTGGCATTGCGGTAAACCCGAATAAATGCCAGGCTATCATCATCGGAAGCTCTCGATCGCTAGGTAAGATTGACAGTGCATCTCTGCCGGCCGTTCTTTTCGACGGTGCGATTGTCCCTTACAGCGATAATGTTAAAGACCTAGGCTTACATATTGACAGGAGTTTAAACTGGCATACACAAGTAACTAACGTGTTCAAAAAAGTAACCGGGTCGCTGCGGGCCCTTTACCGCGTGAAAAACTTGCTTCCGCCCGTCACCAAGACGATGCTTGTACAGGCCTTGTTGTTCCCTATAATAGATTATGCTGATGTTTGTTACTATGACCTGAATGCAGATCTCCTCAATAAACTCGACCGACTTCTGAATAACTGCATTCGTTTCGTTTTCAACCTACGCAAATATGATCATGTTTCTGCACATCGGTTGCAATTGAAGTGGTTGCCTATACGCCAGCGTAGGGAGCAAAGGGCGCTAACCACTTTATTTTCCTTTCTTAACTCACCTTGCCCACCTAGCTATATGTCCTCTTACTTAAAATCAAATCAAATCAAAATCATTTATTCCAAATAAACCATAAATAGGTACTTTTGAAACGTCAAAATAGAATAGTAGTCTGTCAGTCTGTTCGTCAGTGAAGCTAGGTGCTCGTTCCAAATTGTAGTTTCGAATGGAGAAGAACGAGCAAGAAACTCCATCGTTACTCTTTTAAAAAAAATGTTTGTTTTACAATTCATCAATAATACATTTTTTATACATTACTGTACCCCTATGTAAGAACAATGCAGAGACAAGTTGTTAATAAAAAGGAACAAATTATGGTCTATTTAATCTATCATTAAAATTTTAATCCTTTGTTGTCTCGTACATGGCGCTCACATATGCGTACTCACAATCCAAAAGAATGCTTCTATATAAACTCATTCAAGGTTTCATTAATTTTGAGAATTTTAATAACTACTGACTACATATTTGAGAATTGTCCAGTGGAGCCGAACCAACATGCTGCCAGGCATTCTTATCCTCAATATAATCTGAAAGTTTGTAGTATGCCTGTCTACATAATTCGCGTTTAATATAAGTTTTAAATTTTCGTTCATTAAGATTTAATACACTTCTTGGAATTTTATTGTAACAATTTACACAGAACCCCATAAAGGATTTCTGTACTTTGGACAGACGGAATCGTGGCACAGCCAGCCTATCTTTGCCTCTAGTATTAAAATTGTGTCTATCGCTTCTTTTTTCAAATAATTGCAAATTTTTCCTTACGTACATAATATTTTCATATATAAACTGACAACATACTTCCAATACACATGCGCAAACCACAATAAATACCTTCGCTCTTCTAACAATCGTCCCCTCAACTGTCCAACTCATCACTCAAAATTTCTCCATTCCTCATTTTTCGTTCAGGCTATTCTTCTGCGGAATGCGCTACCCCCCGATATCAGGATCCTGACTAGTCGGCTGTCTTTCAAGCAGAGAGTTCGGGAGCTTCTTTTGAAGAGGTTGGGGGAATCATCGGGACTATGACTGCATATACGTATATATATGTATATATATATATATATATATATATATACTGCCTTATAAATATGTATTGTACTGTATGTATATAGTATGTATGTATGTAAAGTGTGTTATGTATATTTTTATATATATATGTTTGGTATATTCAATTGAATTTCCTTGCTTCTGCATCTGCCACTAGATTATCTCTGCATCACCCAAAGGTAGACTGGTAGAGAATGTTCATTACATTAAGTCCGCCTATGTACAATGTTTTGTGCATGAAGTCTAAAATAAAATAAAATAACTCAACAACGCCTGAACCAATTTTGCTAATTCCTTTTTTGTTGTGTTTGTTATTGTCAGGAGAAGGTTCTTATGAAAGAAAACTTTACAAAAGTAAATGGGAATAGCGAGAATTAATAACCTTTTCGGTGCCGTGGCTGTCGCTCGCAAAACAAAACACTGATACAGAGGTAGTCGGATATCCGTGTGGAGCAGGGGCGGTCTGCTAGTTACATAAAAAAAAAATATTAAAATCGTTCGAGCCGTTTAGGAGGCGTTCAATGACGTACACACGTACAGCAGAATTGTATATATAAAGTTAATATAAATTTATTTCCCTTATTTCAGGTGGAATTCTTAAAATCGCCAGAGAAGTTCTCGACGTTAGGCGGGAAGTTGCCCAAGGGGGTGCTACTGGTGGGTCCCCCGGGGACGGGCAAGACGTTGCTGGCGCGCGCCGTGGCCGGGGAGGCGCGGGTCCCGTTCTTCCACGCTGCCGGACCTGAGTTCGACGAGATACTGGTCGGCCAGGGCGCTAGGAGGGTGCGGGATCTCTTCAGTAAGTCGTTTTTTCTATGTCAGTTCGACAAACGAGCAGATTATCTGATGGTAAGCAATCAGCGCCGCCCATGGACACTATTAACACCAAAGGAATGGTTAGTTAATCCCGTTCCTTAAGAATTGTTATATAATTAAAAATGAAGAGTCGTTTAAGTTATCCCTTAACGTCTCGTGAGTACAATATTCAAGCGTAAATTAAAATTATATTATTTAGAAATTATTTAAGATTTATATGTATATGTAATTGCAAGTTAAATTATCTATATAGTATTTGGTTGTAAGTAAAAATTGTTATTAAGGATAATCACTGACCCCACAGTCAAACCATTACAACGGTTTTGTGGGGCTTAGCACAAAAGATAAGGCTACATTTCTGATATAAAATAAATAAAATAAATAATAAAGTAAGACATTATAACTTGCTAACTGTGCTCATATTTTTCTACTAAAAAATAATGTTTTGAAACTGATTTGTAAACGAAATGTGCTTCCTACTTACTCTTACCGCTTACAAATAACAGAAGTAAAGGGTAGGAGAAAAATATGCGTCCAAGCACGTGAATTGGCCCTCGCTCAGCATTATGCAGATATCGTTAAAGAGGGGGTGGGGATTATTATTTTGTGGTTATATTTTATTGTAGCCATACATTTAGCTACTATCACGTCTGATGGTAAGCAATTAAGCAACCTACGATGGAGCACGCCTACCCATAAGCAACCTATTCACTCGGGCCTTGAAGACACCCAGGTTATACCCTTCGGGAAACACGGACTCCGGCAAAGAATCTCCATGATCTTGTTAGTTTGTCCTTCTCCGTTTGAGAAGAGGCCTTTGCTCAGCAGTGGGCACTTATTTTGTGTTTGTCTGTCATGTGTTTGTCTGTACAGAGGCAGCGAAGGAGCGCGCCCCGTGCGTGATATTTATCGACGAGATTGACTCTGTCGGCGCCAAGCGGACCAATAGCGTACTGCATCCATATGCCAACCAGGTTAGTAGCAATCAAGGGGGCCAGACTTCCCTCACTTCCCCACCTGAATTTCTCTTGTGTCGTGGGTGCGTTTACAAACATACAATTTCACATAAACATCACACCCAGACACGAAACAACAATTTGAAAATACACAAACAGTTGTTGCGTACGAGGATCGATCCCACGACACGTTGCACGGCAGCCAGTTGCCCAGCCCCCGCACGAACCGTGCTGTCGGTATTTGTAGGATTGGTACAGTCAGCTCCAAAAGTCGATGAACAGAATCAATTTAACAAAACACCTGTTCAGAATAAAATGCCATAAGTTATTGTCGTAACTAGGAAACAAAATAGCCTGTACACCAAAAATTTACAAAAGTCGTTAAACACGACTAATTCAAAAGTATCTGTGCACTATAGTATTCCGTAAGTCGCTGTACACCATCAATCCAGATGTCGCTGAACATCATTGTATCAAAAGTCACTAAACAGTAGTAAAGACAAAATTAGGTTAACAAAGTAAATTTTTAATGTTGCTATGTGTTAATATAATTTTGACGCTTATGTTGTTCAACTACTTTTGGGACAGTGCTTGCTAGACCTTAATAATGTATATTATATAACATGCTAGTATCCATTTCAATACTTATTTACAAATCAATTATATTTTTAACCGACTTCAAAAAAGGAGGAGGTTCTCAATTCGTCGGGATCTTTTTTTTATATATTTTTATGGATATTCACCGATTACTCGAAGACGCCTGGACCGATTTGCAAAATTCTTTTTTTATTTGATAGGGTATACTTGCCAGTTGGTCCCATTATCATGAGGTCAGGATCTGATGATGGAATTCTGGAGAAATCGAGGGGAACTTTCAATAATTGTATGGACGAATAGCAATACTTAGAAGATTTTACACATTTAATTAGATTACATACTCGATTATTTTCGAGCCACTAGATTATGAACCCCAGTATGGTTCGAAACTAGTCAAGTTACCACGTGAAACAATATAAGTGTATTAATGTTTTACGCTAATCGTATACTTATTATGGCCTTTAATATATATTTCTTTCTTTACCAGACAATAAACCAGTTACTATCAGAGATGGACGGCTTCCACCAAAACGAGGGTGTCATAGTACTGGGCGCCACCAACAGACGGGACGACCTCGACCAGGCGCTGCTCAGACCCGGCCGGTTCGATGTCGAGGTAAGGCACACTGTTTTATATTGTACTAGCTTTTGCCCGCGACTTCCTTCGCCTTCGTCTGTACCAAATTTCACAGAAATCTGTTCCGTAGTTTAGGCGTGAAGAAAAGACAGACATACAGACAGACAGAGTTACTTTCGAACTTATAATGTTAGTTTGGATTTTACGTTGGAAATTGTATTTTTTATCCAATTTGACTGATGTACTCATTGTAAATGTTTGCGAGTAATAAAAGGCTCGTATATAGTAATAGTACGCTCGCAGCGATGTGTTACGCCGTGTGAGTGAGGTTACTGGAGGACCATCCTTCCCTCCCCAATGCTAAAAATAAAATGCTAAAATCTCCTAATCCCCTAAAGGTCGGCGACGCACTCGTAACTCCTTTATTGTTGTGGGTGTCCATGGAAGGCGCTTGTAGCGACATCTAGCGCACTACATAAACAACAGCACCAATCACGAGCAAGAGTCTACATCGCGCTATAAGAGTTTTCCACACAATTAGCACCCATACAGATATCCCGACAACAACCGTCGGGCAGTAGCCCACCAGGCATGAACACCTCGCCTGGTCGGAGGATCCTCCCTTTTCAATGGAGGATGAGGAACTTTCCACCCTGTTCCTCATACCTCTAAACGCTGATTGCTTACCATCAGGTCATTCTTCAGCTCGTTTGCCGACTTATCACATGAATAAAAAATAAAAATGTGTATTTGACTTAAAAATGAAAAAGGAATAGGTAGTGTTCGACCCAAGCAGGGCGCATCACTCATTCACCGTGTCCTCTGGGTGATAAGTCTAATGTTGTCTTTGGCATTGATGCCGTATAGTGCCGGTACTTCTCCTATTAAGGATGCACTACGCTTATGATAATGAGAAAGCCGTCGCATATTTAAGTGTGGACGAGCCATGTTTCGGCACGAATGTGTCGGGCTCGATCAGAGTAATATCACGGCCTCACAGAAAACTAGCGTGAATCAACCACAGCGTTGTGTTTTGCCGTGTAAGAGATGTTACTGAAGACCCTATCCCTTCCCATCCCCTTTCCAATCCTTAAATATCCAAAACCCCAAAACCCTAAAAGGTCAGCAACGCACTCGTAACTCCTTTGGTGTTGTTTGCCACCAGGTAATCTGTTAGCTCGTTTGCTTACCTATACTATTTTAGAGAACAGAAAGTAAAATTCCGTTATATCGGAAAAGGAGGATCCTCCGACCAGGCGAGGTGATCGTGCCTGGTGGGCTACTGCCCAACAGATATACGTTAGGGTTTTCTATCCGTATAATTAGCGCGGCAACTTCAATTTCGCGATGTAGGATATGTTACGCCATCTGTTGTCTATCTATTTGAGTCGCCACATCATAAAAAAAATCATTTTGATTCAGAAGATAATAATAATGAAGAACAAGCCCTCCTACCTCATTCTTGCCTTAATTGGCTGGCTTGAGTGGAGATTCGCAAGAGTAGGAGTTGAAGGAGACTCGGGGGAAGGATGTATCTCAGTAAGGTGCTGGTAGGGGTCTTGACCGTACTTCCGGGATTGCTCTGATAGCCGTGGGATGCCTCTCCTTCCCCAAGCAGCTCAACGTATGTTGCCTCCGTGTCGCTACATGCTAGCGGCCGTTTCCGGGGGCCCATTAATTGAGTTTGCCAGTCACCCCCTGCCTGTTTATCCGTATGTATCAATATTGGTCAGGGGCAGGGGCCATAGTATTTCCATAGTTATCATATCCACCAGTCCATAGCAACCCATACCCATAACCCTTTCGTTTATTACCACAATTCGCAATAGTCTTGCATCAACCGGGGATTATCCTTGGGTGCACTTTCATAGTGCAAACAGGGATAATTGCCGGCTGATGTCCCATCACATTTAGATTAAAACTGTTCAAAGGGCCTCTGCGAGTTGGCTTCGGCCCCTCGTACGCCTTCCAAAGGTCCGGGATCCTATGATCCCGTGAACGGAAACGAACATACAAATAATAATAAAAGGCAGCTTGTGGCGAGCTGTTGGGCAGTGGCGACCCCACGGACCTGACTCCCGGGAGGTGTCTTGTTCTTCATGTCCGGTTAGTCCTCGTGACGAGCTGGAGTGAACACTGATGAGGAACAAGCCCTCCTACCTCATTCTTGCCTTAATTGGCTGGCTTGAGTGGAGATTCGCAAGAGTAGGAGTTGAAGGAGACTCGGGGGAAGGATGTATCTCAGTAAGGTGCTGGTAGGGGTCTTGACCGTACTTCCGGGATGCTCTGATAGCCGTGGGATGCCTCTCCTTCCCCAAGCAGCTCAACGTATGTTGCCTCCGTGTCGCAACATGCTAGCGGCCGTTTTCGGGGGCCCATTAATTGAGTTTGCCAGTCACCCCCTGCCTGTTTATCCGTGTGTATCAATATTGGTCAGGGGCAGGGGCCATAGTAGTTCCATAGTTATCATATTCACCAGTCCATAGCAACTCATACCCATAACCCTTTGAATTATTACCACATTTCGCAATAGTCCTGCATCAACCGGGGATTATCCTTGGGTGCTCTTTCATAGTGCATACAGGGATAATTGCCGGCTGATGTCCCATTTCACTTATATTAAAGTTGTTCAACGGGCCTCTGCGAGTTGGCTTCGGCCCCTCGTACGCCTTCTAAAGGTCCGGGATCCTGTGATCCCGTGAACGGAAACGAACATACAAATAATAATAATAAAATCCGCAAGGCAGCTTGTGGCGAGCTGTTGGGCAGTGGCGACCCCACGGACCTGACTCCCGGGAGGTGTCTTGCTCTTCTCTCTCCGGTTAGTCCTAGTGACTAGCTGGAGTGAACACTGATGAGGAACAAGCCCTCTCACCTCATTCTTGCCTTAATTGGCTGGCTTGAGTGGAGATTCGCAAGAGTAGGAGTTGAAGGAGACTCGGGGGAAGGATGTATCTCAGTAAGATGCTGGTAGGGGTCTTGACCGTACTTCCGGGATTGCTCTGATAGCCGTGGGATACCTCTCCTTCCCCAAGCAGCTCAACGTATGTTGCCCCCTTGTCGCTACATGCTAGCGGCCGTTTCCGGGGGCCCATTAATTGAGTTTGCCAGTCACCCCCTGCCTGTTTATCCGTATGTATCAATATTGGTCAGGGGCAGGGGCCATAGTATTTCCATAGTTTTCATCCACTAGTCCATAGCAACCCATACCCATAACCTTATAATTTTTTACCACATTTCGCAATAGTCCTCCATCAACCGGGGATTGTCCTTGGGTGCACTTTCATAGTGCATACAGGGATAATTGCTGGCTGATGTCCCATTTCACTTAAATTATAGTTGTTCAACGGGCCTCTGCAAGTTGGCTTCGGTCCCTCGTATGCCTTCCAAATGTCTGGTATTCTGCGATCTTGTAAAAGCAAATAATAATAAAATAATAATGGCAGGTGAACGTGCCGACCCCCGACTACGGCGGGCGGCGCGAGATCCTGGAGCTGTACCTGGCGCGGGTGCGGGCGCACCCCGACGTGGACCCCGACGTGCTGGCGCGCGGGACCACCGGCTTCACCGGGGCCGACCTCGAGAACATGGTCAACCAGGCCGCGCTCAAGTACCACTTACATACCACTTCCTTATAGCCTACTTCTAAGTAACTAGTTTCAACTTACAAAAAATATTCTACCCCCAGGGCAGCGATAGACGGTGCAAAAACAGTGTCAATGAAGTACCTGGAGGACGCCCGGGACAAGGTCCTGATGGGGCCCGAGAGACGGTCCCGCCTGCCCGACGAGGAGGCTAACACTATCACAGCGTACCACGAGGGCGGACATGCTATTGTCGCCTATTTCACTAAGGTATGATTGCATTTTTTATTCGGTTCATGATCTACGGACTCCGGTCGAGCTCGAAATTGGTCTGGTGTGCCTGAAATAAAGTGTGGGGGAGGCATGCTTCGGCTCGACCGGACTACTTACCCACCATACTACGGCGTCACAGAAAACCGGCGTGAAACAACCACAACGTTGTGTTCCAATCCTTCGAATCTCTAAATCTTCAAATCTAATCCCCAAAAGGTCGGCAACGCAATCGTGGGACATATTGTGGGTTATTAGGGATTTGGGGTTGGGGGGAGTGGAGTATTGGGGTATTGAGGATGGGGTGGATTGGGTTTCCGGTAACCTCCCTCACACGACGAAACACAACGTAAGCGTTGCTTCACGCCGATTTTCTGTAATAGCTTGGTCTCTGAGCCAACCCACACTTCCATATTAATTATATATTTCCACTAAACATGTGTGTACCCCGGGCAGGACTCGCACCCGCTGCACAAGGTGACAATAATCCCGCGCGGGCCCTCCCTGGGACACACCGCCTACATACCCGCCAAGGAGAGGTAAGCTCACTCCTCGCTCACTCTGTACCTCCGAGGTACCACACAACATGTTGTTTCCGGTCTGAGTCACCCACGACACAGGAGAAAACATCTAAGTGCAGCAACGTTTCCAAAGAAGTCATCATCATCATCAGTCTATAAGTGCCCACTGCTGAGCAAAGGCCTCTTCTCACACGGAGAAGGTTTGAGCATTAACCACCACGCTCGCTCAAGGCGGATTGACGAATTCAAACTTATACATAATAAGAAATTATAAGTCTAGGTCCTCACGATGTTTTCCTTCACCATATATCAGAAAAAATATGTTGTATTTTTTTTTTCTATGTTCTTATGTATTTTTATGGTGTTAATATATTAAATAATTGTTGTGGACTGCATGTTTGGTGCGGTGGCTGGGCAACTGGCTGCCGTGCAACGTGTCGCGGGTATGCTTCCCGCACGGCACAACTCTTTATGTGATCCACAAATTGTTGTTCCGAATCTGGGTGCGATGTGTATGTGACATGTGTATGTTTGTAACATGATGGCAACTTACCCAGACCTGTAACCCTATTATTTATTTATTTATTAGTTTGTCTACAATTGCTACTCATACTAAGGGTGACAAAAATGCATGGAGAGCTTAAGGTCGACTATTGACTGACAGGTTTTGCATAACGCTACCATAGATAACTAGATGGCGCTGCTTTTAAATGAAAATAACCCTGCAAAGCTTGAATGCTTTACACTGCAGAGGCACACAATAAGGTTTTTAATGGTTAAAATAATAATTAAGAAACAATAATATATTTATATTCAAATACACATAAAAAGTTAATTTTCACATTTCCAAGGACTTAATATAGCGCCATCTAAGTCAAGTCAAGCAAACCAATTAAAAGATGGCGTCAATAATTAATAATAGACATTAATAAAAGTTATAAACTAACCCGCATTTTCGATATCATTAAAAATGCGATCGGTAGCTCGGATAAATAAGAATGATAGTATAATGAAGTCGAAGGGCACCGGTTCAATTCCGGGTTATCATTTTTAAATTCAGGTTTTTTAACAATGGTTTTTTTATATTGTTTTTATAAAATCAATAATAATAATATATAAATAAAATATTTGACGTTTAATATTTATAAAAGATAACAAAAATAAATAAATATATTATTTTAGAATAAAATTATATTAATAAATATATATAAATAACTTTTATAATATGTGCTAACTATTAATGTAAAAGTAACATATTTTTCTTACAGATTATGACTAATACTAAGTTTAATTCTCATAAAGGATAACAAATAAAACTATTTTAGTGACATTATAATTTCAGACATTTATTTCTTAAAACATAATATTTATTTCTTTCTTATATAGTGTATACCCTGACCTAATAACTTTTCAGCTAACTGACACATTATTTATTACACTTTTTATAAGATTAATAAGTATTTTAAATCAAAATTGTGTTGTGCTAGTCATTTATTAGTTAGTTTTAAACACAATGTTATAATATGATTCTATATAATATGCAACCTTACTTCTGCAACTATTTTACCTCCCCATAAAATTTAATTAAAGTATTGACTAAAGTGATTCATTTTGTGCATCATGTTATGACAAAGGCTCATAGCTTAAGTATTCGTTCCAGAACAAGGAAGAAATTGAAGCTAGACCTTAAATCAATAACATTTCTAAGACCGGGATATAGCATTCACTAGATATGGGATGAATTGTTCATAGTAATTAATAAATAAATAATTAATTATTTTGCAATCAATAGCATCTGTAAATATTAATATTGCTTTTATTTTTATTTCTCATATTTAGTAAAACATTAAAATCATTACTGTATAACAGTCGCTGGTTATAAAGTAGTCAATAAATTTATCCTACTAAAACTAAGTTTGAACATTTATCCATTAAATAAATTATAGCTACCCCGGTCTTGTAATTGCTTAATCCTATAGTCAACAATGTCTTTTCTTTTAAGAACTAGTGTAGCCGCCATTTTTATCGATCCTATTTCTCCTATCTCGCTGGCCAAGGAATAATCCGTATGTCTGATTGCTGACTAAACACTTGCACAATTATGGAACATTACACATAGGACAATTGTCCTGCACGAACGTTATCACTAGCACATCTTCATGACGTCTTTCAGCACATCTATGTAGTTTTCACTGTTTGCATCACTGAAGATGACAATGCTCCAGTAATTTTCCTCATAACCTTGCCCCATAAGTTGAAACTGGTCTGAGTCAACATCACGTCTTCTGCCAGATCCACTACGGTGCTCCAATGAACCCTCTTCTTGAAACAGCTTTAGATATCCATAAAGTGGCAGTCTTTATCTGTAAGGGACGTGTATTATTTATTATTTTCATGTATCGATAACCATGGATAATAAAATAAATAACAAACGGTCATTTATAAGAATACTTACGTTTAAGCCAGTTTCTCTAGAAATTCCAGTATAATTGAAGCCTTTATTATGCAATGCTATTATTTGGGCCCTCGTAGCCATATTAACATTTGAACGCAAATTCATAATAAAAATAAATATTAAAAACTTGTTAAACAAATCGTGACGACGTGAGTAAAGAATGTTATGATTGAACAAAAAGGTTTAATTTTTATACAGTTAATTTTAAATTACCCTCAACTGTTTTGAGATTTATGATCGGGTTATAGTTGCTAAACAACTTCAATATAATAAAGAGTAGGATAATTTCAATACATTTCAAGGTTACGTAATGGCCTAATGGCTAGTGGCATCGGTTAATTTTATGCTACCGAGTTCGAAACCTGGTTATTGCGTGCTTTGCTTTAAAAAGGTTTGGAATATCGTAGCATTAATTTGTATAAAAATTTATTAAGTTAATAACTTTGTATCTGATAAAAACTATAAATGTATATTTTTCAATACCACTAGTATACTAGCGCCATCTATGTCGTCCATGGTATATAATTAAGGCGATGAAACGCCGTACAAACGATTTTGATTTAGAATCATCCATGCACTTATGACACTGATAGTACATTAACAATTAGGTATACAAGCACAGACGTTAAGAATAGCCTTTACCTATCCCTTTATTGTATAATACTGTGACGTATTGTTACCTCCCACAGATACCACGTGACGAAGCAACAGCTTCTAGCAATGATGGACACCATGATGGGGGGTCGCGCCGCCGAGGAACTCGTCTTTGGACCCGAGAAGATCACCTCAGGTTGGTGCAATGACAATAAACATGTACCTAACACGAGCGGGACACTAGTTTACTTATTCGTTCATGATATTACAATTTGATAAACGTTTTGTACAGAGTACAAAACGTTTAACAAATTGTAATGTAATAACGCGTCAAAATTTGACGTCACTTGCCATACTATTTTGGTACATTTTTTTTACACTACAGTCAGTCAAAGTTGCGAAATTCAATAGTTTTCCATATCACCTTTAGTTAAAATAATATTTTATTTTAAAATGGTACAATAAGTACTTTATTTTTACATTCTATTTAGACACAGCAATACCCTAGATTACAAAACCTCCAAGAAATATCGAAATTATCAGCATTAGCAGTAACAGCATTCAAAAGTATGTCACAGGGTGCTCATTTCCCCTTTTTTTTGAAATCAGTATAATTCTGTAAGTACATGGGGTGGATTTTTTAAAATATTTTTCTGAGTACTGTTTAGAACTTGGGGCATCGTGGGAATCCAGTTGGACGCCAGGTTCTTGGACACCCTGTATATCTTCCTGCCCTTGTCCCGTTTTATTTGGGGTCGGCGCAATATGTTTTTTCTTCCATTCTGTCCTGTCACTCGTCACGCTATCACTAACTCCTCTGTCTTCCATATCACTTCTCACACAATCCATCCATATTTTCTTTGGTCTTCCTCTCCCTCTCCATCCATCCACATTTATACTCATAGCTACATACATAGATTTAAATACATAAAAACATTATTTATATTTAGTTTATTAGATAACATCGATTTTGGTCTATACCTGATACATTTTTACATGCCAACACTGTTTACATTAAGTTAATTACCGATAGTCCAAAGTGTAGATTCCTATGTAGATGAACGAGCAAGAAACTCCATGGTAACTCTTTGTGCATCACGATTAAATCAGTTCCATTATGGCGTTGTATAAGTATGAAGTAAGAAGCTGTTCCTCCCCCAGGAGCGTCGTCGGACCTGAAGCAGGCGACGTCGATAGCGTGCCACATGGTCCGCGAGTGGGGCATGAGCGAGAAGGTCGGGCTCCGCGCGCTCGAACCCGCGCGCCCCGCGTTGCACGGCCCCGAGCAACTCGGGCCCTACACCAACGAGCTGGTACACCCTCATTGCCTCGTCTAGCAGGACCGACCCCACTGCCTAGCCCTCGACTCTGCTACTACAGTACTGTCTGTTCTTCTGATTTATTTCGTTGCGGGATCCAAGACAGTCATTCATGTCCCTGGGACGCGCCGGACTTCAGTGTTCCGGTGTTTTCATGGTTGTATCTACTGTAGGTCTTGGTGCAGAGGAGTGCCAATAAAAAATTGTGTCTTTGTTTTAGTAGGTGGAAATCATCAATATAAATAAATATAAAAAATAAATAGAAATGTTTTTACAGTTACGGAGTTGCTATTCAATACGGTACAATACGGTAGTTTCCAACTACGGTCTAAAACAATACTTTACTATGAAATATGTATAAAACTCCAAATTTTGACGTCATAGTTTTTTGAATCAAATAGCTTACTTATTTCTTAAAAATTACCTAGAAATTATCGAAAATTTCGTGTATCGACAAATTGATAAATGAAGTATAGTAATAATATTTTAATGTATAGAAACGTCGAATCAATTTATATTTGACTTAGGAAACTTCTCAATTCATAAAATGACGCTCGAACATGTTGTAGGTCTGTCTTTTATATTAGTTTTCTAGTTTCCAAACTATGTGTTTTGGCAACTTGTCTAGTATTCGAGCAAGACTGACTTTCCATACTCTCTCACCATAATCGCTGACATTTTGATATTTCTAAAGTAATAATAATAATGTCGGGATCTAAGTAAACGTCGTGGTGGCCCCGAGGTTAAGGCGCCCGCTTCTCAAGCATGAGGGTTTCAAAACCTGGCAAGTACCAATGTGGCTTTTCCCGAGTTACATGTACTTTCTATGATTATTTAGACACCACTGACATACGGTGAAGGAAAACATCGTGAGGAAACCTGGACTTGTAATTTCTAATTATAAATTTGAAATCGCCAATCCGCCTTGAGCAAGCGTTGTGGTTAATACTCAAACCTTCTCCGTGTGAGAAGATACTTTTGCTCAGCTGTGGACACTTACAGGCTGATGATGTGTGATGATGATAATGATGATAATGATGATGGTGATGCAGGTGGACGGGGAGATAAAGAAGATCCTATCCGACAGCTACGACCGCGCCAAGGCGATACTACGGAACCACGCCAAGGAGCACAAAGCGCTCGCCGAGGCCTTGCTCAAGTGAGTCCTTACTAACCTTGTTATTTCTCGTAGCTTTAGTTATACCACGACTGGCGGGCGTGATACCACGGCCTCATAAACTGGCGTAGTACATGCCGAGCAACCTTCGTTCCTCCTAGGGCACAAGCACTGGTTAGGGATGATACAATAATGGTGAGTCAATACTAGATTTGTCTTTTTGTATTGCTTTGATGAAGTGCGTTTTATCCGTGTTTAATGCCAGCGAGTTACATCGGAGACAATTATATACATTATTAAAAAACCGGGTTGTGCAAGTCTGTAGACCTCAGTTTCTGAGTCAGCTGAAAATAGTAGAGCGGTGTCGTCAGCGTATGATACGATTGTACCAGTTTTCCAGATTGCAAATCAAAAACATTATAGACGATAATATGCTCCCCTGGGGCACACCGTAAGCGGTAGATTTGATGAATTTACCAATTTTTACGCACTGAGTGCGTCCTTCTAGATAACTTTGAAAATATTTGAGCTGAATTCATATTTTACCAATAGTGTCCAGCTTTTGCAACAGCACAGGAACAGAAATTGTGTCAAAAGCTTGGGCGAGATCCAGAAAATCTCCCTAGGTAGGTAGGTAGTGGCTACCCTCGTTAGATTGTAGATAGATTGATGGCAGTTTTAAACTAAAGTTAAGAATGTCACTACAATGGTTCTAGTCTATCACTATCGTTCTTTTTAAAAAACGTTGCCACACGCTTGGATTTTCTCCTGTATCTTGATGCGTCTCATACAGAGTTGTTCCCAACAAGGAATAAATGTGTTGTTTTGTGGCTAGATATGAGACCCTGGACGCGGACGACATCAAAGCCATAATGAATGGCGAGAAGATCAAAGTGGAACGTCACGGGCGGGCCAGCAAGGAGCCGGCGCCAAGCTCGGCGCCCTCAGCCCCCTCTGGCGCCGGCCTGCTGGGCGCCCCCCATCCCGCGCCCGCCTAGCGCCTGCAGCGCCCTCTGGCGCCGGCCTGCTGGGCGCCCCCCATCCCGCGCCCGCCTAGCGCCTGCAGCGCCCTCTGGCGCCGGCCTGCTGGGCGCCCTCTGGCGCCGGCCTGCTGGGCGCCCCCCATCCCGCGCCCGCCTAGCGCCTGCAGCGCCCTCTGGCGCCGGCCTGCTGGGCGCCCCCCATCCCGCGCCCGCCTAGCGCCTGCAGCGCCCTCTGGCGCCGGCCTGCTGGGCGCCCCCCATCCCGCGCCCGCCTAGCGCCTGCAGCGCCCTCTGGCGCCGGCCTGCTGGGCGCCCCCCATCCCGCGCCCGCCTAGCGCCTGCAGCGCCCTCTGGCGCCGGCCTGCTGGGCGCCCTCTGGCGCCGGCCTGCTGGGCGCCCCCCATCCCGCGCCCGCCTAGCGCCTGCAGCGCCCTCTGGCGCCGGCCTGCTGGGCGCCCCCCATCCCGCGCCCGCCTAGCGCCTGCAGCGCCCTCTGGCGCCGGCCTGCTGGGCGCCCCCCATCCCGCGCCCGCCTAGCGCCTGCAGCGCCCTCTGGCGCCGGCCTGCTGGGCGCCCCCCATCCCGCGCCCGCCTAGCGCCCTGGGCGCCCGGCCCCTTCAGCCCCGGGAACGTGCAAATTGAAAATTTTGCAGGCAAACTGTAAACATTTTAAAATAAAAAATAAGTAAAACTTGCTATTGATTTAGTCGGCCTTTGATTTTAGCTAGTTTGGGAAGGAAGATGAAGACTAACCGCGGAACGGTGCGGGTTCAGACCCCGGACGAACCCGCAATACTCTGTAATAGTAAATTCTGTGACTGAGTCAGTAGCGGGAGAATTCCATTGACTAGTTGCCTTAGAGCACGTCGTGATAGCACGGACAAACTGTATTAAATATTACCAAAGTAATGTTAAACTTGAAATTACAGGCCATTGTTTCAAGGCGCCTTAAATGTATGTTACAATCAAGTACTGGATATTGGAGAAATACTAAAATATATAACTGAAAGATAGTAACTTGTGGAGCTTATCGGAAACTTATTCTAAGATGGTGAAACCGATTCTTGAGCTGTACAATAAATACACTATCTGGAGATAAATATTGCACGTCGACTTTTGGAAAGAGGCAGTTTTATATAATACCAGCTTGTACTAGCGGCGTCGCCCGCAGGATTAGAGTAAAAAATAACCCTCCTTTTGCTTTGCCGTAGTCGGGTAAAAAGTGGCCTATGAGTTATCCGAGACTACAATCTATCTCTGTGCCAAATTACATTCAGATCCGTTTAGCAGTTTAATTGTGGTGAAGCCAAGCTTCGGCTCGACGGAAGTGATACCATGGTCTCACGGAAAACTGGCGTGAAGCAACATTGACGTTGTGTTTCCGCCTTGTGAGTGAGGATATCAGACGCCCAATTCTTCCGCCCCTCATCCTCAATCCTTAAATCAGTCAACTACTACTATCCTTAAATCCCTAATAACCTACAAGAGGCCGGCAACGCACTTGTAGTAACTCCTTTGGCATTACCAGTGTCCATCGGCGGCGCTGATTGCTTACCATCAGGTAATCCGTCTGCTCGTTTTATAAAAAAGTTGTGTTTACGTGGAAGAGTAACAAATATCCATCCGTACTTTCAAACTTTTTTTGTTTATAATGTTTGTAGTATATTAGGAATGTTTTCTTTTTAAATTTTTTTATGATGCTGAGAATTCCCTTCAATAATACTACAATTGTCTCATAGCAAAAGTAAATCTACAATATTTATCACCTAGCTCTTAAACAATAAAATAATAATAATTATACATACTGACGTCACAGTAAAGAAAAATCTTCCAAAAATGACTTATCTCGAATTGTGAGCAAAAGAAAGTGCTGCCATCTTTCGCTAGCTGTTTAAAACACTTCCCAGATTGAAAAAGAAAACAAATTACTCAAATATTAAATTTTATAAGTTGTATATTGCTACTGGGTCCCTTCTGAAGGAGAAGGGATCATGGAAGCTTATAAACTATTTATAAATATAATAATAATATTTATAAAACGATTTTAACACAAGTTCACTACAAAATAACTTGCTTCTCCATTCTTTTAACTTCTGCTCGGTCTCTATTGGTCGTAGCGTGATGTTTTATAGCGTATAGCCTTCCTCGATAAATGGACTATCCAATATAAAAAGTATTGTTTAAATCGGACCAGTAGTTCCTGAGATTAGGGCGTTCAAACAAATCCTTCAACTTTATAATATTGACTCTATTGCAGTGGAATTGTGTTTATAATTGTTTTATGAATATTACAGTCGACGTATAACATTACTAAGTGATTATTTAGTTTTGAAATAAAATTAAACATGTACAGACAACAGATTTCTTTATTTCCAATCCCTTTATTGTTCTTCTGTTGAGTGATTATCAACCCCGGCTTGGCTCGAAACTAGTCGAGCTGACTCGTCGAACAGTTAGAATAAAAAAAGAAAACTATACTAGTATTTTTATTAGAAAATACTGAAAGTGAACTGAATAGTTATTGGTTCGATACTTGGTCAAATATGCAAGTTATATTGTAGTAGCATTTAATTATGCCATGGTGGCCGGGTTCGATACCTGGCAAGTACCAATGTGAACTTTTCCGAGTCATAAGTCAATACTTTACAAGTTGATCTAGACACCACTGGAATGCAGTGAAGGAAAATTCCGAGAGCAATCCTGGTCTTATGATTTCAAGTTTGAAATCGCGAATCCGCTGCCGTGAGCAAGTGTGGTGATTAATGCTCAAACCTCTATGAGCTAGGTCCGCAGGTCAACTATAATCTATTTTTATTTTTATTACACTTTCAACTTTACACTAAATACATAAAATTCAGAATGTAATAAAGGTATTTGCTTTTTGCATACAAGCGCACAGTTGTGCAAGCGTTTCGTTTTTATGAGATACATTTCGGAGAATGTTCGAAGGAGCTACACGACTTGATCCCCCCTAGTCCATTCCATCATCGTACCACCAGACAATCGAAAAAAAGTCCTCGCTTCATGGTGTATAATATTATATGAAAGAAGAAAGAAAGAAAAACCATTTATTTCACACACAAATGACGCAAGAAACAAACAAGTATGGACAAAACAAGCAATGAACATAAAAAAAGAAAATCACTACAATTGCGTCACTCATGCGTGAAAAAGGGCAGCGCTCAGCATAAATGCTGTGTCTCGCGCACGCAGGCACGATACAACAGCGCTGGTTTTCAGCACTGACCCTCCACGCGTCCTTGCCTCGGGACTATAAAAATACTGACGCCGTTTCGGCATTACTAAATAAAATAAGTACCTATACAAACACAGATAATCAATTACACATCAGGTACACAATTAATAAATGTTAAAAACTAAAAGTAAACTAAACAAACAAAAAAAAACAATGAATAAGTATTAAAACATGCCATAGACAAAACAAATCACAAGACGAGAATATCAATATATCTACCACCTGCACACACGAAGCGGTTCCCATCCAGTTTTATCGTTAAAACCACTAAGGAGTAGTATTCTTTGCCAGAGTCTGTGTTTCCCGAAGGTAATGGGGTGTCTCCAAGGCCCGAGTGAATAGGTTGCTTATGGGTAGGCGTGCTCCATCGTAGGTCGCATCATCATCGCTTATCCCCAGGAGTGATAGCGGCAAAACGCCTGCCAAAATAAACAAATCAAGTGTGGAAGAAGAATGGCAACGCACTAGTAATAATTATGGAGCTGCTGGGTGTCTTAGGACGAAGCCGATTGCTTACCATCAGGTACTTAATCCGCCTGTTGATTCGTCGACCTACTAAAACAATATAGAAATGATAAGGTTATTTTTTGTGAGGGGAAAATCATCAAATGACTTCTCCCGCCCAGGGCCGGGCGGGAGGAAGTGTCAGACTCTTACTGACTAAAAACCCCCCTGTTCCTTCTCCTGCTCTGGGCCGAGGTTGCGGTGCTTCATTGCGCTTACCCCGCCACCCCGGCTGAGAAATGATAAGGCAGATACTCGCTAGAGACTAATAAATTAATTTATTATTGAGTTTAAAAATAGGTCAGATAAACAACGCGAGGTCAAGGCTGCGATACACGAGCGCTTGTAAAAACAGTACAGCTTTATATTTTTATCTTTATTTCTTTGAATAGTTCTAACTTACGTACCTATTATAAAAGTTATGTACTGTTGAATCACATCTTATTAAAATAAGTGGGCTCGATGAACTTTTTTATGTAATACTAGCTACTCTCACGCGGTTTCACCCGCGCTCGGCTCCGTTTGATTGTAGCGTGATGTTTTATAGCCTATAGCACTCAGAAACATTGTAGCTACCTATCTATCAGTGAAAGAATTTTGGCAATGCGACCAGTGGTTCCAAAGGTTACCCCCTACATAGGTAAAAACTAACAGATTTTACCTCTTTATTATTTTAGTATAGATGTCGGCAAACGAGTATTATTATGTAACATGTCGACAAACGAGCATATGAATTACCTGATGGTAAGCAATCAGCGCCGCCCATGGAGACTTGCAACGGAAGAGTTACGAGTGTGTTGCCGACCGCTTAGGGATTAGGAATTTGGAGATTTAGGGATTCACTCACACGGCGAAACACGGGTTTCTGTGAGGCCGAGGTATCACTCCGGTCGAGCCGACCCATTCGTGCCGAAGCTTGGCTCTCCACACTTATATCCTGATCGTAAGCAAATAAATGTAACATAGTCACTTTAGTCACTGACTATATTTATTTAATGATGACTTGATTTTATACAAATAGAGCGCATCGGCGCTACGATCGCGAGCGCTTTTTTATCTGAGGAAAAAATCATGAAATGACTTCTCTCGACCAGGTTAAGAGGGAGTGTCAGTAAGGGTAAAAAACGGTTTTTCTCGATTGTATCTTGTATCTTAATTGTATCTTATTGATTATAATGAGACTTTTGCACCTGTTGCAAGAATAGCAAGTTTCAAATTTATTTAAGCATTCGCTAATCAGTAGGCATCTAGATTGCTAGTGCATCATATGGATAGCGGGTGTGCGGACGGCGAGTAAGGATAGCTCG